ACTAAATGTATACACAAGGCAATTATTTATTTTGCCCATGATGCTTTTGACTCTTGCAGGCAAAGTGCCATTTCATTACTACTAAATGCTCATTTTCTAGTCCGTCATCACTGCTTGAAGATCTTGCTGCTTTTTCTATTTGACCACTGGTTGCTGCCTTCTCTGAACCTGCTTTAGCATCTGATGGAAAAATTTCATTGAGCTCAAAACTTATTAATGCATTAATACACTTTTAAAAATGTTTTAATGAATCATTGTTAAAAGATTTTTATTTTTTTCACTTAGATGAAAATTGTAAACATCTTTTAAAGGCAATTTTCCTACAATGAGGAATCTGTTTTATACACAGATGCAATATTTAGCACAGAATCAGACAGAAGGCATAAAGGATGCTTCAGGACTGCTGTAAATTATGATGTATGTCCCCTAGCAGCTATCCAAGAACTGGATGAGAATTTGCACTTTCTTGCCTCAGAGGCAGTATTTAACCTATATATTGCTGGCATGGAAGTGGGTTAAAACTTCTTGCAAACAGCTTCCCCCAAGCAATTTTACAAGATTAAAATTATAAAAATAAGATGTGTCAGAGCAAGCAAAAAATTCTCTCCCATACATACAGCAAAAGTGACAGCGAAGCTGAGTAAGCGATTTTTGTAATGGAGTAAGTTGCGAATAAGGACACAACATTCATTTGAACAAAAATCAATAAGCTTAATCCTTCTCTGCTGTATTCGACTTCTCTAAAATCAGCAGTCATATCAATGCTGAATCTAGTTCAATATGCTTATTATCTACTTATCATATATCTATAGGATATCTGAAAAAAAAAGTAAGAAAAAAAATCAAACAGTATGTTTTCTGTAGAAGTCCTCCTCTCTAAGGGCTCTCTCAAACTAGTAATTCCAATGGTGCGCAGTGACAACTACATAATACTTAGTTTAAGCAATCAGATAAATGTGCTAGCTACATGGACTAGAGAGTGAAACACAATTTTCTTACTTTCAGATCAGTATTTTCTCCTCTCTGTTTGCTAACAGACCCAATTTTATTTTTTTTGTATTTTTATTTGCATGATAATTTCTATGCAGAAAACACTTCTGAGCAACAGTGGAGCGGTTTCCATTAAAATAAACCTAGTAGTGCACTAAGTTAATGTAATGAGCAGGAACTCTCAAATGAAAAATACCTGACCTCTCAAATGACTAAGACATATTAAACAAAGCTATAGAGAGGATCACAGTGCGCTATGTCTATTGATAGTAATTCTCAGAAAAAAAAAAAATCTTGATAGCATGAGATCTGTGGTGGGCTCACCACGTGCAAATCAGATTAATTCATTTTTTCCACTGACTCCCTTGCACGAGAAACAACCACATGATTTTTGGCTGTTGTAGTGTGAAATATCTTTTTTTTTCTACTTGACGGTGTGAAGTAGAAGAGAAAGTAAAAAGGTACCAATGCACTTATTATGAAATAAAATATTATTATTACTGAATGTCAGAATGGACAGATCGGAGATGGCTGGTGATATAATGGAACAAGCTAATTATTGCTACTGGAATAAAGTTACACTCCGGTGAAGCCAAAACATCTCACCAGCTGACATGTGCCTTGCACTCAGCATACAAGTAATTCTTAAAAATATCTTATAAAGAGATATATAATTACGTGTACTGTGTAAACTGAAGACAGGCAGAGTATGAATGTCTTTCTCAATGTATAAGAATCTTAAAGACATTTACAAAATTCAAGTAATTCTTAAAAATATCTTATAGATAAAGAGATATATAATTATGTGTACTGTGTAAACTGAAAATAGGCAGAGTATGAATGTCTTTCTCAATGACAAATTAAACTTCAGAGATGGAATTAAGAGCTCAGGACTACAAAAGTTGCTATATTCATCAAAATTACTGACACTGACACCTAGTTCTCTGATTTTCCCTTTCTCTTGGGGCTCAGGAAAGATCACTACTGCCCAGCCATTGACAGTGTGCAGATAACAACACAGATGATATAATGCCTCAAAGGGAATTTCAGACTATACTCTCCCTGTCAACCTGTTTTTTGTTTTAATTTGCTAAAGATGTGAGACAAGCTGGTGAACCTTCTGAATGACACATTGGTTACAAGCCGTGGCTTGAGAGACAGTGGATTAGGTTATCTCCCCAGATCCCTTCTAGCCTCATCTTTCTCTAACTAATTTGTCGGTAAACAAGACCCAGGTAAAATAGATAGCAAACAATCTCAGTACTTGGTAAATAATGAATTGCCATCTGTCCCGGAGTGTTAAAACACTCGTTAAAAGCAATGGTGTTACAAGACTCTGATGTTTACAGGTGGTTTGCCTTAGTCACAAAGGTGTTCCTTCCTTCTGGCATCATGAAGCTGCCCACCATTAGGAGCTCCAGTGAACTCTACCAGCAGCCTGTTGCAGTAAGGCCATCCCTACCAGAGCTTTCCATAAGTGAATGTATGGGAGCAACACTTTTGCTGTGACAGCAAAACCTGGCAACACAAAGCTAAGACAAGGGGTTAACACTGAGAATGCACAGAATAGGCATACATTGACATTAGCAAAGGATAAGATCCCTGAAAATATAAGGGACGTGCTACCCTGCATGAAGAGAAAAGTCAGTATATACACATAAGCCTCAAACTTACTTTTGAAGAGCTGTGAAATGGCCTATCCACCAATAGTCTGTAACCAAAGGTAAACATCCCTTATAAGTAAAGATGGCCTAAGCCAGTTGCTCAGACAAAATTCCCCTCTCACCCCACCACATACTGAAAAATAAGAAAGAGGGATGTTAGAAGAGATCCTGCAACAAATTCTGTCATTGCTCCTGCTCAGCTCCACACCATTCCCATGGCCCTGGATACCCACCTCCTCGACAGAGCATCCTGGCCCTCCTTCCCCTCACTGCCAGTGATTGCATGCCTCACAGTTCTCTGCCTTCTTGCTACAGGAAAACCTGTCCAAGCCTTTCTCCTCCTTGCATTCCTTCTATTCCCTGCATTTTCTATTGGAGAATAGTTTTGGCTCAGACTTCCCTATTCTGACCTATCTCCCCGTAAAAAACTAATCCATATTTTGAAAGATCTGTAGTGAAATTTCTTCCTGTTCTCCTATCCCATCCCAAAACTGTGAAGGCTGGATTTGAACTGATTATGGCTGTGTTGAAGTCTGAGTCAGCAGCTCCTGCATCTCACACACACATAGATTCACAGGACGGTTGAGGTTGGAAGGGACCTCTGGAGATCATCCAGTCCAACTGCCCTGCTCAAGCAGGGACACCTGGAGCACGTAGCACAGGGTCTCCATAAAACATTTTCAGTTGACATGTAAATAAGCAAGCCACCGTATTTTTTCAACTAATTTGTATATATTCAGTGCAAGATAGATAATCACATTTTTTTTTAATTTTAAAATAAAAAACCTTTTCAAAAGCTGCTTTCCCACAGTGACATAGAATATATGATATTAACAACAGGAAACACCAAATAACACAGTGTTTTGAGTATATTTGAAACACACCAAAACAATTGATCAAGCCTTAGAAAATATTTTGGATAAAAAACATCAGAGATCTGTATCTTAAGAATTCCTCATTTAAATTTAGACACTTTGGAACACTAGTCTAAATACAATACCTCTTGAACACCACAAAATACTAGGCAAGCCAAGGCTACACATGGATTTGAATACACCTAGAAGAGACAGACTGTAAATAAAAGCTAAACATGGATGGCTCCTGTTCCCTTATGACAGAGAAAAATACCAAATCAGTTTTCAAATAATATTTGCTTTTCTTTTCCTTTCACCTGCCAATCATGCTGCTCACTTGGTCTACAGCTATTTGTTCTCTGGGGTAACTTTTAATTGGATCAGGTTATCTTCCTTATTTTCTTTATATATATTTTTTGAGTGTCTTGATTGGGAAAGACAGACTGATACCAACAGATTTTTCTGACAATCATTTCAACAGACCAAAATAATTCCCCCTTCCTCTTTTTTTGTCCTGCAAGTAAAGCTGGAACTCAGAAGGTTTGCAGAAGCTCTAAACCTCATAAAATCCTCTTTTATGAGTACTCTTCATTCCCAGAATTTGTGTCCTTTTTTTTTTTTTTTCCAGTGTATGTATATCGTCAGTTATTAATCTTTTGAGGACAGAAGGAATGAAGATCCACTTACAGAAGTTGCTGTCTTATCTCCACTGAAGACAGAAGAGGATACACAGCACTTGCCTCTTCTAACTAAAAAGAGGATCTATTAACCCATGACTCACTCTAATGTATTAAAGTTTATGCTGGGACTCACAAGCACTTCTCTGTAAGAAAATCCAGTGGCTTTATCAAACAAATCTTTATTGAAAAGGGATCACCCAATGAACTCACTGAACAGTAAATTCAAACCAAACAGACATTACTGTGTTTTCAAATTGTGCAGAAATATAGTCTAAAATTCATGATCACATGATACTCTGGAGGGCAGAACTATTGGCAAGTTCATGAAGAGGATTAGAAAAATTCTTGGAGGATAACTCCATTACATGCCTTCAGGAAGCTCCAAACCACTGACTGCTAAACTTCAAGAGGGTATAAGAGTAAGGTTAGATTACATACATCTATTTTCTTAGTTTTTTTTCTATGTACACCCTACTGAGTTAGAAAAGCCCAGTCAGACAGTCAGACCATACTAGCACATAAATTTGGTCATGAGTTTCTCATTTCTTTAGGAGTCCTGTCTGTACCAGGCCTTATTGAAATAACTGAGATGTAAGGAAGAGTGGACACCTGGAGATATTTTGGTAGCAGGAGGATAGGGAAATTGGCTAGCGCTGTAATTTAGGTTCAGAAGCTGAGAAACACGTCAGAGTGTTTCAGACAAATATGCCCATATTTTGCAGTATACTCGACTACTTGCAGCATGACAAAACAGTGCTACCATGCCTATACAGTTATGACGTAATTATAGTTTTTAAGTGAGTGTGTCTTACCTGCCCCAATAACTCTCTCAATCCGAATTCTTGAAGGATCTATCTCCTTTGCGAATTCATGGACAGCAAGGGATGGGTCTTCATATGTGTCTGGATCAATATATGTTTTGATTCCTGGAAAGCGTACTGAAAAAAGAGAGAATCAAGAACTCTTTTACATTCAACATTATAACAGTATATTTTTTCTTGTTTGGCTAGACAATTAAGAGGATTGGTAATAATGTATTTTTCACTTTTGAAATGCCAGAACCCCACAGAAACGATAATTTCTAATATTACTATTTTCACAGAAACCAACTCTAGAGGCCATATGAGTTGGCTCATTTTGCTAGTAGCATCAGTGCCTTTAAGGGTTGACTAAGTAACACTTAAAAATTTTCTCCTACCCTTCAAGTGCCTTTTTATAGGAAAGGCTTGTGAGACATTAAGGAGCTTTGTCTTACATTTGTATAGGCAGGGGGGAGTCACACAATTTACCAACATCAAGCCATCAAGCCATTAATTGATTCAAAATTGAAGGTGCTTTTTAGTCCTCCTTTTAATTTTCAATGTCATGTGAATAAATCAAGATCTCATTATGCCAACCTTGCTTTGTCAAACAAGCATCAGAGTAATAATCAATGAGATTTATAAAAACTTGGTGGATAAGGGTTCTACTCAATATGTAAAAGTGTGAAAGAACTGAACTCTATTGTGAATTTCTGACTGACACACACACAAATACTGAATCCTTTAACATATCATAGTTCTGTCATGTAAGATCTCTAAGTACATTGCTATTAAGGCAACTATGATAATGGCAAATAAACCAGACAATTTATTCATGGTTATTTTGGGGAAATCCAATCTATTTTATTCCTCAGAAATGAGAAATTGCTGTGAAATGAATGAAATACAGTAATTATCTTTGCTCAAATCTTGCTATGCCATGCCATGTTTATAAGATCAACATTCAAAAGTGTGGCTCGAAACTCTGAAAAATGTCCTACTGGATCCTGCTCAAATGTCCCGAGATGTTCTGGATGACAGAAAACATGGATACTTTTCCAGAGTTGATGTGATAGCTACCGTAGCTACTGCATGCAATTTCACATCAAATATCCTTTCAGCTTCCAATGATAACACAATCAATTTTAGTGTAAAAAATGGAGAAAGTATGGGTATTGGATTCTCTGAATGCTATTTATATCTCTACTCACTAACTCATTTCTGGTGGATACACAGTGCAAGAGTCAATCCTGCCCTACAGGAACACAAATTAAAGGGGCTTCAAGAAAACTCAGTCTTTAATATTCAGGTATTAAGATAGTGTTAAAATCTGTTCCTGTTTTGCTTCTACCCCAGCCAGACACAAGTATCTTTGGCTGTACAGTATTTCAGACAGGACAATAAAGAGGACAGCAAAGTTCTTGGGAACTTCTCCTTTGAAAAGAGAATTATAATAACATGCCTACCTTAGTTTTAAGTGAAGTGCTGTTTTTAGGTAAGACAGTACACAGATGGATTTGATATTGTAAGCATTTCCTTTGCAATTACTATTTAGTATTTTATTCTGAACAGGCTAGTTGGTGTCTCTACGCTTTGCACAGGTCCTGAAGGAATGCATCAAGTACAGCTGGTAAATAGGAAAACTGGCAAGTGCAGTGAGTCACAAGGTAAAAAATGAGTTCTGAGCTGCTACTTCAAAGGGTACCCATAGAGACACTGAATGAGGGCTCAGAGTTACACAGGAAGGCAGGTCCTAAGCAGGAACAGTGATAACTGCCAAAGCAGTTCATGTGGCCCTTATTGCACCTTGGACAATTTAGACAATCTGTCCTTTACTTTGAAAACAGTGCGTGCTAATTTGCTCCCTTCACTTACAGGCCAATGACTGAATATTCGTCTTGACTAACAGGTCCAATTTTTGAGAGCCTTTTCCCTAAAGAACTGTGCTGCTTTGTTCTCTCCTGATCAGCTTGCACAACCAGAGGGCCAGGTGCAAGACAAGAACAAAAATATCCAAATCCATTTACAAGGCTTCAATAACTTCTGTCTGCTTCTTTGGAGATGGCTGTAGCAGTAGTGAGTCGGTGCCAGATTGCTTTGGCAAGCTCCAACAAACCATAATTTTCTGGCATGGTTAATATTCCTCATGGTCTTGAGTGCAGCATGGCCAAGAACTTATGTTGTTTCCCTTGGACTATCTGGATGGGAAAATTAAAGGCTACTGCCATGTGGTAATTACATTCTGGAAAACTTTCAACATATCAGCAGAGGTTGATATAGATAATGCATTGACTTATCAGGAAAGGAAGAGAGTGTTACAGATGGGTACAGATGGGCACAGAAAACCTCTTTTTAGAGAATTAAGTACCTCTCAACCTTCTTCCTCTTATCACTTAGCAGCTGAGTCTAAAGCAACTCATTTGATAATGAGCCTAAACACACTTTTTAGGTGAAGAGGACCTAGTTCAGAATACATGAATGTGTTTTGGTTTCATCAAGTAGTGTGCAATATCTCTTTCGACTAAAGCTGATTGAGTACATATAACTTACAGAAACAGAGAGCACAGAAGAGATCATGGACGTCACATTATCAACAACGTCATTGAGACCCTTTTCATAGTTTCCCTTCATGATTTATTTCCTGAAATCTGTCTCTAATTCCCACTGAGCTCTCAAGGGAGAAAGGGTGGAAGAACAGGAGATGGTTCTTCCCTGCACACAGCAGACTAGGACAGAGAGCACCAAGAGGAGTGACCTGGGAGGCAGGCACAAGCATTGGTAACCAGTGCGGGTTTTGCAGCAGAGCTCTTTTTTAAACAGAGCGATGTCACGTCATAGAGATGCCAGCAGCGACTGCCCGGACCGAAGCATTGTTAGAGGCTGAGATGCGAGTATCAATTCCATAGGCTTGCTAGCAGTAGTCAGCAGGTAGATAAACGTATGGAGCAGGTACTACGTACTCAGGGTCAAGGAAGAAGCATCATTGGCAATACAGTCTCAGCAGTAGGGGGTAAGTCATGGTAATTCCTCTTTAACCTTGCATGGAACCCATGCATGTCAGTTGTGCCCCCTCAGATCTGATGCTGAGGTAACTGCACATGAATGAGAAGCCTCTGAGAAGCAGCAGTGTGTCAGCACGACATGGGTCATCGTCTCCCCTGGCCTGAAAGAGACTGAAGCTTTTCTCAAATTCAGTCATGGTCTCAGAATCATGCATTAAACTCACCAGCAAAAGGGGTTTGGTCTTCTGGCCTTTCTCACTGTGCTTGGAATCAAATGACTATCATCTCTTCCTAGGAAGTATCCTTTCTAGAGAAGTGTGCCCTTTTCTGTGAGAGAAACAGCCTCTTGGCTGCATACGCTGGTGTCATGTGAAACAAAAAATGATTTACTAATGACTTAGCTTCTGTCTTGATCATAATATTTTCACATTAGGGGACAGTATAATTATCAGTATGGACTAAAATCAATAAAGTATAATATCCTTTGTATAAGCCAAGAGTAAGCAAAGTTAGGTCCCCTCACATAAAGGTGATATACTCATAACTGAAGCGAACTAAACAAACTAAACTAAAAAACTAATATACTGCACAGGAGAGATTTTCAGGGTTTTTTCTCACAGTACTACTCAGCCAGAAGGAGTGTGAGGGAAGGCAGCCCACTATCCTTTTTATGCCTTTCTTGGCTGGAGGGTTAGGTCCCAAAAGGCACTGATAGCTACTGAGAACCAGATACAAACAAGGCATGTTTGTATCAATGATGGAATTTTGTGGCAAATCATTCAGCAGAGTCCAGAGCAGTTGTGAATTCACAGAAATATACCTCAAAATGATGGATAATATGAACACTGTAATATTATGAATGAATACCAGAGAAACTTATTCACTAAAGTGAATTCTGTGAAAATGTACAAGAGGATATACAAATAAAAACAAACAGTCTTGATGATACAGACAATAGGGATCTATTCAAATAGTCAGACTACAGAATCAGGGGTAAAAGAGGTACAGAAAACAATGAATATTCTTCATTAAAAAATTATATGAATTTTATACTAAGTTTTATACTAAGAACTAAGTTTTGAACTACTTACAGTGTCCATTTTGCAGATGAGCCCTCCTTTTCTCTTCAGACTTCATTTTGGCTTTTATGTACCACTGGCATCTTTCAAGAAAAGCAAGTGAAGTTTTAACTAATATGATTGTAATTCATAAATCAAGTGCATATGAAAGCTAAAATCTGTATATTCTCAGTCTAAACAGATTTAGTAATGAAATTCTGAGAGAAACATGCATTACAAACAATGAGAAAAATATTATATACATATGAAAATAAATCAAGGTTGGATGACTAGTAGTAAAATTTATTAGTATTACAGTTTAAGTTTGTAGTTCAAGCAGTGAAGATGCTTCATTTCCAAGTCTGAATCTTCTAAAGAATTCTGCTACTTTAATAATAAACTATTATTTCCCCTGTCTTTGTGCCTCCACACACTGGTTTATGTCAATGAAATCTTACTACATCATTATATATCCAATGGATCAAAAATCTCACATTTTCTCCATTGTTTCTATGACTTCAGCATGTTTTGTAAAGAAGATATTTTTTCATATCAGAACCAATTATTTCTTTTCTAAGTAGCTCCCTTCAGTCTGTGCCTTCATTAACTTATTACTTCTCTTAGGATAGTAACATATAGAATAAACAATATGCAGCTGCTATGTAAATATGGTGATTTAGAATATATCAGCATGATTAACGCTATCAAATTGCAAATCCTCTGAAGACTGTACATGACTCTGCTCATTAATACTTAGTGACCCTACCTGGCAATGCAAAGAGTATGTTGCAGGTATGTTGCATGACAAGTAAGATTAGAAGCTCCCCATAATGAAATATCTCCTAACCTGAATGCTGCCTGGTTGCAGGGCCTTTAAGGAGACTCTTAAGAGAATCTGAGAGTAGCATAATAGAAATTCAGCTCAAGAAAAACAGAAAACTTTGCTCTTGGTCTTAAAGCTCGTTCTCACCCACAGAACAGCCTAAGAAGGAAGATTTCCAGCGACATGTTTTGGGAGCCTGACAAGACTGAAACAAGGCTAAGGACTCTTGCAGCAGTTACAGGCCACTGGAAAACAGGAGTGTGCATAGACATATGCTTTTGTGTGTAGATAATTCAGTTCCAAGAACAGCTGGAAAAAGTGACCGGCTTGTGTCTCTATTATCAGCCTTATAAAATAAAATTAAAAAACCCCTCTATAATTACAGATATTATTTCACTTAAAATAATGATAATGGAGATATACCAAATATATGAATACATCTACCTCAATTCAATGGGTCATTTAAACTACTGAAACAAACTAGGATCACTCCAAAATTCATCCATTGTTGCAGAGCAGATGATACCACCTGAAGGGTGGTAACGTTGTAAACTATCACAGCTGTAATTTACAGGGCACTTGTTTTCATGATTATGCACCCTTAAGAATGGGAACAGTTAATCACTGGATTATCAGCCTCTCTGGTAAATTTGAGAATTGACAAATGTTGCTGGGACCACAAAGTGCATCAGGACCACTCTTAGGATCTGGACGACTGGTCTGTAGGGTCCTAACTACCATGAAAAACACTCCTTTTCCAGAGGAACGCGGTCAAGGAAACCAGACCTTAGCCCTGTAGAGTTCTCTCAAGCACATATGTACCCTCAAAGCTTGACTACAGAAGCTCAGTGCCTAATTCATAGCAGTGGAGTCTTTCACTTCCAGCTTCCAATTTCCTATTGTTATTATTATTAGCTACTGAACATTCAGACAGGAATAATTTCTCGAACGATAAGAATGAATCACACTGAGCTTTAATTGAGCTTTTCCTGAAGCTCAGCCAAGACCCTCATCTCCCTGCATACACTGTGCCTCAAAGTCAGTGTGGATTTCATTTTTTTCTATCTGCAACTGACAGCCATGCTTCCTGCTCGCTCCCGGTGGATAATCATGCAGGGAAATACAGAAGCAGGTGCTCATTTCACCCAGCCTCTCCAGTGTGAATAGACTCATCAGCAGCCTTGTGACTCAACAGCTCATCAAATTGCTAATCGTGACCAGTGAAGCAGAGCACATCTGTAGGGTACCAATCCCATCTTCATGCCAAAATTTGTCTCCAATCCTGCAGTATTTATCCAAATTTTCTTGCTCTGTCTTCTGCAGAATGCATTCATCACTGCATTTAAGCAACACTTTAGAATGAGTTCATACCTTACATAATTGAAATAGTCTCACTCACTATGATGTTAGCAAGCCAATCTAAAAGAACTTTGGATATCCTAAGCATTAGCAAACAGGAGGAATAAAAGCAGAAGGAACTCAGGAATGTTTATGTTTATATGCTTTTCCACTGTTGAGTTTATTGAGTACTTTCTAAGGGAAGAATTCCCATGATGTTTAAGGAATTCCACTTGAGGATTCTACACAAATGCTTCTCCAAGAGTTTATCTTTGTCTCCTCCATACCCTGGGCTAAGGGTCTTTTCACAGCATCACAGAAGGGTTCAGGTTGGAAGGGACCTCTAGAGATCATCTAGTCCAACCCCCTGCTCCAGCAGGGTCACCTAGAGCACGTGGCACAGGGTCGCAGCCAGGTGGGTTTGGAAGATCTCCAGAGAAGGAGACTCCACAACCTCTCTGGTTCCTTCCCTGAAAGTAAATACAGATTCTAACCAAGGTGAGGAATAGTGCAGAATTCCATCCAACCTATGGATTATTTCTGGCCCAAAGCCAGGTGAGAAGGAAACTCCATGGAGAATCTTCCTCACACAGAGGCTCTTCCATTGGTGTTTTTTCCTTTTGTGTCTGAAGGACGGAGAGGGGAGAAGTGAAGAATAGCAAAAGGGTAGACAGACTCGCAAACCTCCCTTTTTTCCCCATAGAGCTTACTGCAGGAGCTAGGAGCCCAACTCCCTTTGCCACGGAGGCCCCCTATTTCTACAAAATATTGGGGTTTCTTATGCCTTTTCTTTTTTAAGGCCTTCTTGACTCATGGCAGCAGTGTATTGCCATTAATGTTTCCACAGAAAACATATGGAACATATTGCCTTTGTTCTTGTAAATTCTGCTTTGTTTTCTGGTGGAAGCACATCCCTTGAAGCCACATGGAAAACACCCTGAGGCTCAGTGAAAGAGAAAACGAAGTACCATGAAAGTGGTTATGTGTGTGAGAATCCTAGCTCTGGCAAGGACTGATATTCTGATCTTTCTCTTCAATTTTTCGCCAAGTCCATTAAGAATTGAACAGTTCCTTCAAATATTCTGTGTGTAATTGAGCATGGCATCTAGCCCTTCAAATCAAAATATTTTCTCATCCAATTAACATAATGTCATTATTTGATCCAGATCCACATATCAAATGAAGGTGGACAGCTAGTACTGTAAAAAAAGAGGGAAAAAAGAATTCAGGTATAAGGGAAGTTATAGAAAACAATCATTTTCCAGACCAGTGAATTCCCCTACCAAAGCAACACTACTGCTCTAATGTAGATATAATTGGGGTATGCTCAATGCAATTTTATCTCCCCCAGTCAAATAGAAGCTTCAGGAGGCTACTTTAAAGTCTCACGTGATATTACTGGCAGTAAATTCATTCTAGTATTTCTACATTTTCTCTTAAGAGATGCAGAGCTGTGTATAAAAGTATATATACATCGTTGTGTATTATTTTCCCCTACAAATTTAATGTAGCAAAATAATTAAAAATTGGCCACTCAATTGGCCTTTAGCAAGCTATATTGCAAACCTCAAGCTATCACAAGCCATCAAAAATCCTAAGGTTAAGCCCTTCAAAGCGTGGAACTGATAGACAGTTATGAGATTTTAATGCCAGAGCCTTGAGGGTGGAGCTGGATTTTATTTTTAAATTGTTGTTCTGCAGAAAAGAGGGCAACACAGTTATATCAAAAACCGCAAAGTTATTTCCAAAACAGCAAAGTTATTTCTGATTTCATGTAGTCATGTGGTCTCCAAAACTTGAGTTCAAGAAACACAACATGTCACAAGACTCACAATAGAACCATGAATGAGAGGAGGACTGAACAAAGATGACATTAACCCCACTAACCCAAATCTATCCTGTCTTTATCTCTAAAAACGTGGTTTACTCTCTTAAATATTACGACTTTTCCCTTTAGGAGGGCTCTAATCCTGAGTAAAAGAGAATGATGCAGCATTAGTTACCTCCCGGTGATGAGGAAGAACAAAGTGAGGATGACCAGGAGAGTGAATCCACCAACAGCAGCAGTGGCAATTACAAGAATCTGCCCCTGCTCCGCAGCCATATCAGAAGCTGAAATGGAAGCACAAAGAAAAGAGGTTGAAACTCCAGCACCCAGGATTCATGCAGAACGGATGATAACATCTCAGTGGTCAAATGTCACAGTTACCCTGAAATCAACATTGGTTCCTTTCGTGCTTAGCAAGGGTATGGGATGGGACTCTGCCTGTGAAGCGAAGTCTTAATCCACGTCCACTTACAAAGAGAAGTATTTTTACCAGTAAGAAATACAGCATGGGGACTATAGCAAAGAAGTTTTTTTTCACAAGTTAAGGAATATAACACTGCTGGTTTTTATCTAAAACAGTCTGCACGTTCACAGTTCATAAAAGTAGTCAGAAACTACAGAACTAATACAGTTTCAGTATAATATAGTACATATTTAGGACGTGCAATTCTTGGCAGAGCCCACAGGCATCCACTTTGAGGCATTCATTTCCAGAAGGTTCTCCTTCTGGCAGTCAGCACACATGCTGCCAACTGAGCACTCAGGTGCACCTATTCTTAGAGAGTGAAAACTCAGGCCTGCATTTGGAAGATCCCGTACTATCTTACAATAACAGGTAGCAACAGAAATAAGAGATTCTATCATTCTTTTAATGATAACAGTATCATAACTTAATTCAATTTGGAAGTAAAATTCAAACTACATAATGAATATTTTGGTATGCCATTTTTTAAAAAACATTTAAAAATATGTAAATCAAAAGTCAAAGCAAAGGTCTGTGGGATCCTGATACATACATAAACTCTGCTGCAACAGTATCCTTTTCTAGTAACTGGGAGTTCCGTGATTTCCTGGATTTGGGCATTTTAAAATGAGGAGGTGGCATTATCAGTCACTTGCAATTTATCCAAGTTTAAGTATGACAAGGCTTTGGACACAAAACTACAATATATTTGTTTGTTTATCTAAACTCTGCATCATATTCAGAGCTTCATCCAGCTGTCCCAGTGAAGTCAGTAGCAGTGCTCTATGTATAGGTAACATACTAAATTGGGTTCTATAGAAGGCAGCACAGAAAAAATACACTTAGCATGTGGCTGGGCTGTACGCCTGCTGGAATTTATGCAACTTGATCTATAACATACTCTTGGCATCACTATAGTTGAAAAACGTAATCTATTTTCTTATGCCTCCTGTTTTCCTCGTTACTTTTTGCAGGACATTTAGGAGTCAAAAAAGACCACAAGGATTTCATCTGTTTATTATTTAATTCATTATAATATTGAATATTACCACTGACAATGCACCTACTTACAACCTGTCTGGTCCTGACTGTATCACCCGAGGGGGAAAAGAATTAGGCTCCACTATTTATTCAAAGTTTTATTTCTTAAACTCAGTTATGTCTGGACATTTTCACCACATGACATGTTTTTCTAAATGACACCTTCAATTTCTATGCAAAAATGAAACAGTGCTCTGAAAGACGGTTCTCTGACCTCCTGTAAGAGTAATAAATTCAGAACAGAAAAAACATTTTGATTCATAAAGAGAGCAACTTTGATTTTGTAAATTTGTAAACTGTTCAATGAGCAAAGTCTTCCTTGGGGACCAGATGATTAAAACTTAGGGAAATCACCCAGGTTTCTGTAAAGAGAAAGTTTGGTAAGCCATATTCTTTCACTTTACAATTGCAAAAACCAATGTTCGTTTTTGTACAGTACACACATAACTGCCCAGAGACTCACAAAAAGCTGTTTCCAGGAAAAACATTTGACTTATGGTTTAGAAATTAGCGTTACGGCTTTGTAAGGGTAGCAAAGCAAATAAAAACAATAGTAATTTATGTAATTTATGTCCAATTTTCAGTAAAAACAAATTGTTAGATATCTACCATTAAGTTTCTATCTATATAATTTAATGGTTATATACATAGGCAATAAATTACAATGCATTCAGTATCTGTGGTCAAAAACTCTGCAGAGACAAGTTAAATACATAAATCTTCCAATAAATGATGTAGCAAAACCTCTTATCAAATACTCACTGAATAGCTAATCTCCAAAAGGGTAGCCAGTAATATTGGAATGTATTCTAGACTCCTCATCATATGATATTTCATTGAGTCAGATTCACTTGAGAAAATATAAGTTAACAAAATACAATGCCACACAAGTAGCAATGTAAGCAATAATTTCAGACTTTCTGTTTAAACTTTGGATACTATTTCAAACCGCCTAGGGTATAAACATTGCAAAGATTTTTAAAGACAGGAAATGTGTTAAGTTGTAAAATGAGGAGGAAATTTTTAATATTTTGCAAAGTGCAGGGGTACGGACAGAACAAGACACACTATAGCTCTGAAGGAACTGACTCCATGATCCAAAGAAACACTCTGCTAGCTACTGAGATGAAAAAGGTCAGGTTTCCTGGACCACTTCTGCTGGATGAACTGCTGTTTCTGCGCCTTCTAACTAAAACAGAATGCAATCTATCAGTTTAATAACAGGTATTTTCTATCAGGAACTACAGGCAAGTTCATGAAGGGCGACAAATTTCATATCAACTTAGTCCTTTCCACCTCTAACCAATACAATTTTTAGCTGAGACTATACATTCCTAAACAGTGATCATTCTGTTTCTGTTGTTTCTATTTCACCATGTTGGCAGAGATGGCAGAGTCCAATATGTTACAAAAAAGTATTTATTTTTTCCAAGTAGCCGAATCACTACAAAGGGGCTTTCAAGCCTGAAACTTCCCAATGACTTTAATTTACTTGTCAGATAAAAATGCCAAATGACAGACAAGAATAATTGGAAAATGTGGATTTGTTAAAAACTGACAGCAGGTAAGGGAAAATGATGGAAATAGTTATTTTTTCTTGAAGTGATCCCTTTATAAATCAATAAAGGCACAGTGCAATGAACAACATACATTTAAACAAAAAGACATGTGCACACACATTCAGTCTCCTCCTCACACACAGGTGAAATGCTCCAGGAAACACTATCCAGGCAGTGAGAGGATGTAATAAAGCAAACACAATAATTAATATTTTACAACCCTCTTGAAAGCAGAAGTATATTTAGGCATTTTGCCATTCTAAGTGAAATTCAGCTCATGTTCCTCAATCACTCTGTTATTTATTATTTTCTCCTTTTTCTCTTGATCAAGGCTATGTTTAAATAGTAAATTGCAAGTGCTTCAAGATGCATAATGTTTCTGTCATGCATGTTCTCCATTCTTTTTTATTATTTCCTGCTTTATTTTACTCTTCATCAGCTGGGCACTTGGTATATGTCCCTCTCTTTCTCCTCAGTATTCTCAATCATGCCAGACAGAAAAACAATTATCACAAGCTGCAAAGCCAAGCAAGTTTCTGCAGCCTTATTTCATCCCTCCCTGTTTAATCATGGGATCATGCAGCACCACACAAACCCGGGGTCAGGGTCCAATTGGCAGTTTGGTGACCACAGGGACAAATGCAGCTGTTTGTTAGGTGTGTGGGGCCATACTCTATTTGAAACATTAGCAGGGGAGGTGGTGAGGAAGGAGTATTATACTGCTAGCAGTGCCAATGGGAAGACTATTGCCAACTTGGCTTCACTTGCCATTCCCTTGACCCTATTCCTTTCTTGGACATTCAGCCTATGCCTGCTCTTCGGGACAAGGGGACCAGTAGCACCCTCTTTCCACATTAGCCTTCCTAGAGACATGTGAGTGGGAGGGAGGTGGTGTCCATCCCCAGTGCTGGATACAGGTTGGTGCATCAGCACCAATCCAAAAAGGATTCGGATTTGCTATGATTACCCTGCTGGTGCTTGGACACAAAAGGTGAACTCGTTTGCCAGATTTCTTCCACAGAAGTCTCACATTTATCTCACGAGGCTGGCTGCTCTTTTATCTGATAGTATGGATCATTCTCTCTGCCATCAGCTCGATAAGATCATTTTGACAAAAATATACTTAAAAAATGAATAGCACAAGACTAAGATAAGGGAGGATTTATTGCTTATCTGAGAAGATTATAACATAGTATGCTACAATGTTTGAGTGTCATAACCCTTCAAACACAGCATAGCTGCAACTAATATGCCTAGTCAAAGTGGTGAACTGATTCTAAACCTCACGTATCATACATATGCCCAGAAGCATATCGTCAGGGTAAACTGTATTAGTCAAAGTGGTGAACTGATTCTAAAACTACCTCACGTATCATACATAGGTCCAGAAGCATATCGTCAGGGTAAACTGTTCATTCACGTACTCTTAATACATGAATGTTAAATAGCTTTATTCTTTCTCAGTTAACACCATTCCCAGAAATTCATTTTGTACCTAGTTCTGCTCCCTGGTGTGCATCTAGCCTGGGAAATGTTCTGTCCTCACCATCTGTTCTTCACTTTGAAGTCCTGTCTCAGCTCCTCTCTGGGTTTTTCATCCAAACGTGTTGAGGAGGAGCAGCACTTTCTGTCTTCTCCTGGCTGGAGGGAAATATCCCAAGGCTTCCTCACTGGACAGACTGAAAGGATCAGGGCAGGAGGATAAAAGAAGCAGAGAATCTTCCAGATCTTTCTTTTTACTTTCATTTCTTTGGGCAAGTTTCTCACAACATTTGTAAAAAGTTGTCTTTTTGGTATAAAAGGGCTAGAAACCCTAACACTGTCTCAGTTCTGTCTCTTAGCTACACGCTTTAGCTATTTTAGTTTGACATCTATCAGACAGTGGACCTTCCAGCAGAGTGAAAGCCAGAAAAGTGACAGAAAGACAGCTAGGCAGATAATAGTGAGTAGCTGTAAGACAGATGAGTGTGGATGGTGAGAACTGGAGCTCTAACAGATGGGAGCTGGCTGTCAGATGGATTTACAAGGCATTGTAAACAACTGTGCTTAAGAACAATAGGAAAGAAAAGCATGAAGGATAATTAGGTAACCTTTCAGTCTTCAGAAGTGCTGCAGTTCCTGTGCTCCAGTGAGCCAATGGGCTCCAAACTAAGGAGGGGTATGGGAAAGGGAGGAGGCAATGGGAAGGCAGTCTTGAAAAAGATTTTTCAAAGGAAAAACT